GCGGTCCGGCTGGTCCTGTGCAAGTAAGCTCGGTGCTAACAAATGATTGTTTATTTAACTGATCACCTATATATAGACTGTCATTCCAATGATTTTCTTTCACGGTTTTTTTTTTAGCTTCAGACATGCCTATATTTTTGTTAGTTAGGGGCAACCATTGAAGAAGAGCTTATTGCTAAATTCCAGCTTCACTTTCATTGTTTATATACCGTTCTACCATTTATTAGTGATCTTTGAAAACATTGGTATTGCCTAAAGAAAGATAACCTCTGACATGCGCTTAGGTAGGTTTTCAGAAGATTTCAGCACTTGTGAATTAATTTATCTGGAATTTAGTTACTGGTGCATATTGATGAGTGCAGTTAAGTTTATCCAAGGCTGACAAAGTTCAGAAAGTGGTCATCTGGTTTCCAGATTTTCTGATTATTTCATTTATCTAATGTCTTTTTATTGCTTTAGGAGGAAACCCATCAAGTGGAAGTCAAGATGTCAAATGATGACGTTTTGGGTGATGAGATACCCCCTGACCAGGAGGAAGGTTACCGGCAGTTCTTTTATAGGATGCTTTCGCTGAATATTGGGGTAGGAATTTTGAAATCTTGTTATAGGATGTTCACACATAATATTATTTAGTTGAATCTACGAGTATCTCACACTTGAGGTTCAGTTTCTTCACTTTGGTGTAATGGCCTTTTATCTGATGATTGATGTCTCTTGTTCTGTTGTTGCACTTCCATCTATTATGATACTACTTGAGAAAATTGCAAAAAGTAGGATGTGGTAATTTGAAATTAGAACGTCATCTTGATCATCTTGGTACTCTTTTTTGTCTGGCTGAGTAAAAGTGACTTTTCCCTGGCTTTCAGTTACTCTTTCCACCGACTTTGGTTTGGTTATGAATTCTAAGGCATGGATTATGATTTGAGTTTTCACAATGTATTTGCTGAATTTATTTTTCATTAATTTAGGGAAGAGGATGTTCGCAATTTCCAGGTTCACACCCTGTCTCCTTAAACAGGTATGAATACCTGTGTTACTATATTTAGTGCATGGAATGAGGATTGAACTAATGCATCCCCTTAGTTTCGGGCTCAGTTAATCGATTTCATTTGTGGTACTCAACTCTCATTGTTTTTTTACACTTGTGCTAAAATAGGGATAATTTGCAACTCTTGAGGCAGCGGTACTATTATGCAACATGGAAGGCTGATGGAACACGATATATGATGCTGCTAACCACAGATGGTTGTTATTTAGTAGATAGGAGCTTTAGATTTCGGAGGGTACAGATGCGGTTCCCCTTTAGGCACCCAACTGAAGTGAGTAATTTTCTATCTTTGTTGAGTGTGATGTGTATCTAAATCTACACAAAATTGTGAATTGTTTTACTTATTTGTTTTTGGTTGCCAGGGCATATCTGATAAAGTGCACCATTTCACATTGCTTGATGGAGAAATGATTATCGATACCTTGCCAGATAAACAAAGGCAGGAGAGGAGATACCTTATCTATGATATGGTAGCAATCAACGGACAATCAGTAGTAGAGGTTAGAACTGTCATTATTTCTTTCTATGATTGATAATGGTTAAATTGGATCAAAGGGATTTCAAGCTCTTTATCTCAAGATCTGAGTATTCATTGAGGCTTATTGGAAAAACTGTAGCTGCCATTACTCTCATAATAGAACATTTGAAAAATCAAGCAGTATTTTGGCCGGGATTCCTATTGTGATTATCTTAGCGTGTTTGTTGTTTCCCATGCCTGATATGTCTCGTGATGCAATAAATACTCGGGAATCATGAACATATATGATCCATAGAGCATCTGATACCGGTGGTGTGTATTTCTGTATTCCATGCAAATACTTGTACATCAGTTGTTGGAGTTCTTCAGTATTCATTGTTACAGACAGATAACATTGACATAATCGTTTTGCCATTATGCACACCTGTCAGTAGTATAGATTATCAACTAGTTGTTTGGCTTGCTGTATCATGTGTCATTTGCTTAACATTCTAATGATCGATTCAAACATGGACCAGCGGCCTTTCTATGAAAGATGGAAGATGCTCGAGAAGGAGGTGATAGAACCCCGTAATCACGAGAAGGTCAGAAGTCATATCTACAGATACGACCTTGAGCCTTTTAGGGTGAGTATCTCATGCATATT